GCGCGGGGCGGGGCCGCGGCGCCGACCCCCGCACTTGCCGCATCCGCAGCATCATCTCTCCGGACCCGCGCCGACCCTCGCACTTGGCGCAGCCACAGCCGCAGCATCCAGACGCGCGCCGAACCCCGCACTTGCCGCAGCCGACCAGCTCGGACGCAGAGCCACCGGCGGGCGCCTCCCGACCTCCGCGGCAACTCCACGCGACCATGGCCGATCCGGAGAACCAGAGCCCCGCGGAGCCCAGCCAGGCGGCAGCGGCGGCGGCCGAGAGCGCGGCCAAGCCCCGCAACGACTTCATCGAGAGCCTGCCCAACTCCGTCAAGTGCCGCGTCCTGGCGCTCAAGAAGCTGCAGAAGCGCTGCGACAAGATCGAGGCCAAGTTCGACAAGGAGTTCCAGGCGCTGGAGAAGAAGTACAACGAGATCTACAAGCCCCTGCTCGCCAAGATCCAGGAGCTCACCGGTGAGATGGAGGGCTGCGCCTGGACCCTGGAGGGCGACGAGGACGAGGACGAAGAGTACGACGACGACGACGAAGACGGCGACGAGGAGGAGGACGAGGAGGCGGGCGCGGCGGCGCGGCGCCGCAACGACGGCCCCAACACCCAAGTGCCCGACGGCGCCTGCAAGTAAGCGCGCGGTGGGGGGCGCGAGCCACCGGGTCCCCCCCCTCCCTCCCCACCCCGACCTCCCCTCTGATAGACGGTACAGGCCCTCTGCTGACGTTTCCTAACTTAAATCCCAAGTAACTTAGGCCAGAGATGTAGCAAAAAGCAAGCCCCGCTCAGGTGAGCGTGGTGATTGGTTTGGTGAGTTCACCCCCCCCCCCAGCTTCAGAAGACGGGAAGAAAAAAGTAAGTACGTCATGTGGAATCCATCATCCACCTGTCCATCCATCCATCCATCCACTCCGACAGCCAAGCAAACCCTGACGCATCTCTAATTGCTTAATTCTTTTCATTTCTGTCGCCCTGATCTTTCCCCATGCAGTGATCCTAAGAAAGACGTCATCTTTTAAGATGTGGCTGCAACTGACACAGGACAGGCCGGAGGAGAGAGGGAGAAGCAGCCTGCGACACAGACCGTGAACTATGAACGAGGCCAGGAAAAACTGCCATTTCAACTTTAGGGGAAAAAAAAATGTTCTGGGTATTTGTGTATTAGAGAAACGTGGCCCAAAAGGCGGGTGTAACCTGTATAATAGTGTCATCCTGTATTCATTACTAACAGTCTCACGTTTGTTTACTTGGCACTGTCTTCAAAAAAAAAAAAGGCGTTAAAAATAACACCCCTCCCCCAAAGTGTTTTAAGTATTGAATCACTTTACCTAGTGTTGTAGAAATATTCATTTAATTCAAGAGATGTAGACTGTAGCAAATTCTGTACCGCATGTGTTTCCAGCGTTGTGTGGTTTGATCCCTGTGAAGTGTTTCTGTCATGTAGCTTTTAGGGTGTAGCTGTGAAACCAACAGTCAAAACTCCTCACTGAAGCTAATGTTTGGGAAAAAAAAATTATATACTTGAAGAACCAACCCAAGTGTGTGTCCCCATCCCCAGCTCAGAAGTAGAAAGGGTTTCAGTTTGCTTCTATTAGCTGTGCCTTCATTATTTTGCTATGTAAATGTGACATTAAATATAAAATGGTGCATAAATAAATTTTACTGCTTGAGGATCGATTGGCATACGGGAAGAATACATTTGATGTGAAGGACCCTTAGCTTCTTTGTGGGTTTTGAAGTCTATGTGCTCTGTAAAGAAACATCCGCATAAAGTTGTTTACCACTGTGGTGTTAATAAAACAGTATTTTCAAAATAAATAAATAAAAGACTTAACATTCTGACTGCTTGGAGTCTCTTCTTCATTAAATGGGGCCGGTCTTACTCCCTTCCTTGCAATTAAAAACAACTAATGATGTGCTACCCATAAAACCAATAAACAGTGTTATCTATTAAGTACTGATTAGCCTTTCAGCTTTATTATTAATATTAGTACAGAAATGATAAATACTCTGGTAATTCAACCCTCTTTTTTCCATGGGCAAAGAGGGGGGGAAGGGGGAAAAAATAACCATTATGATGTCCCTGCATTCATGATTCCTTATTGTCAAAGAAGAATGTTCCTTTTAATTCAATATTGCAGGAAATTGAATAAACCATCTTGTTTTGGCTTCAATATAAAATCAGGTTTTAATTTCCTCCTCAAAAAGATAAGACTTCAATATGACATTATGAATATACAAAAAAAAAATTCTTTCTAAAAGCAGATCCCAATCTCTTCCATTTCCCTGAAGGGTTAAAATGACACAGAAGCTGCTTTTAAAGTCAAAATGGAGGGTAGCTCTGACCTGTTGCTAATGACGACGGCCTGGCACAAACAATCTAAGGTGGTGGTAATCTTCTGCATAGCCAGGCTAACCGGAGGAAAAGTAAAATTTATCACCACATAATTCATGGCTATCATAGTCATGATTATTTTAGTAAAATAAAAAAGATAATATTTATATCTCTAAAACTGAGAGACTCATTCAGCATTTTTCTAGGGCCAATAAAAACAAAAATGATTCACAAATTAAGGGCATAATTACTGGGGAATTTATCTTACAGGTAATTTCTACTGAAGTCTGTCTCTGCATGTGTGTATATGTTTAACAACCTACCAAAACAAATGTCTATAACCTATGTTAAACAAAACAAAACAAAACAAAACAGGATTTCACAAATGTAACAGGTTTTTGATTATAAGACTGAATGTCACAGAAGTGGTAATTCTTCCCAAATTTGTTTTTTATCACAATTCAAACTGAAATCCAAGTCACATCTGTAATTTAATGTAACTACATATAACTACCCTGATGTTTACGTATGAGACTAGTTAAGAAAATGTTTAGTACTTTAGAAACCAGTTAGACATTTAAAGATTCAAAGAATTTTTCATTAAAGAAAATACATTAGGTATTTATCAACTATTAGACACAGAAAGGCTGAGATTAGGGTGGCATCACACCAAAGGATGTAACAGATGATGACGGCTCAAAATGAGGAAAGGATAAAGATTTGAATATGCATTCAGATGCCAACAAAAATTAGGAATATCCACAATGAATATGAATGGCAAAGGGCTAATACTATAATAACAATAGCCTAAGGCTGTATTATTCATTTGGAAATGATCTAGTTCTTTTAGAGAAATACTTGAAGATCATCAACAGGTTATTTACACAGAGAAGGTTCGGGTGGAGAGACACGTCCCTGCACTGCAGCACTAGGTAAAACGGCTTGAGACAGCTCCCAGCTATGTGATCCAGGCAGCAAGCCATTCTTTCCTGATAAGACTTTAGCTACAGGGTTTTTTGCTAGTGCCTGACCACACCACTACCTCAAGGGTTCCAGGATGTTTGCAAAACCCTTCATAATTCCAAGTGACTTCCATCATTTTCTAGCGAGGATAATGTTAACCCTGCATTTCCTAGCTTGTTTATTTGATAGCCACGAAACCTGGGTTTGTGAAGCATCTAGCAGGATGCCTTCCCTTCAAGGCAAGTCATAGACGATATAGCTCAGTAAACCATTTGTAATTTCTTACAAGCCAAACCTAGCCAATGAAGTGCAAAGTCACTGGCAGAGAGAAAGGCAGCCTGCATCACCTACACAGCCAACGCTCTAGGGGTCTGTGCAGAAAATCGTAGCATGTAAGACGCATGTGCACAGCTAGCACAGCACTGTCCCTGCCTGTAAGTTTACACTCTGTGCACATATGCCAGCATACCTGCATTGCACATACCCATCACCCATCCACAACATCAAAATCAATCATTTTACAGGAAACAATTCTGTGGCATGTCATTTATGTCATATATTACATTCACATTGCTGCATAGCTATTACCTTTGATCCATCGAAATGGATCACCTCTTTATGGAATATTTAAAGTAGCCTATATGTGAAAGAAGATTTTAATGGAACTGTTAATCACAGTGTAAGGATGGGTGAATGGTTGTTATGTATTGAGGATGATACATAAACTGGCAAAATTCATTAGCCATCAACTTAGCAAAAATATCTATCTACTGATTCAATATGCCATACATTTTCATTTAAGTTCATCCTTGGGATCTTATCATTAAAGGGAAATCTTATAGGCAAAAAATAAATCCTTTATATACACACACAGACATGCAATGTAATAGACGTTAAAACCTGGGTAGGGGAAGGAAAAGAAAAGGAGAAAAAGAACATACACACAAGTCAAAACGGCTACTATGAAAGGCAGAGTTTTGTAACAATATCTGAAGTAATGTTCTAGCATTTTCTTCCCCTGGTTAAAAACTCAGACATTCAAATTCATACATACATAGTATGTTTTTAACTTTGACTTTGAAAAAATACGTTGTCTAAAAAAACAAAACAAAAACAAAAACTAGCAGCATCTTCAGCCATTCTCTTCTCCTGGAGTTTAGGGGGACAAGCATCCCCCAGCCCATCTCAGCTCTCAGTGACTGGATGTGGATGTCCACCGAGCAGACACTGTGACTCAATCTGCCTGGTTTTGAACCCTGGACTTGTAGCTATGTTAACTTGACTGAGTGACCTAAGCTCTCCGTGCCTGGATTCCTCCATCAAGTGGGATGGCTTCCACGTCAAGTACTTGCAAAGGTGCCTGAGGCCTGGCGAGCACTTGGGAAGTGTCACCAGCCTCTTATCTATCTGCTGTTCCTGCCACATGGCTACGAATGCACACTCCTGCACACTCATGCACTACCATGGGGATAGGCCCACTTAGTTTATCAGAGTCCCAACTTCAGTGGATCTTAAGGACTCTTATCATATTATATGACCACCTCCAGGTTCTTTCTATGCAATCTAGGTGCTCTAGGGACCGACAAACAAACAACAACAACAAAAAAAAACAAAACAAAGAGCAACTGCATTAAACTGAGGTAAGTTTAGGGGAAAATGGCATCATTCACAGTTTGTCATTAATAATAAGAACTTCATGTTGCAGAGCATGAGAAACTCAGAGACTGAGCAGCCAGGAAGCACACTATTATCCAGAGGTGACCCACCGAGCCAGGCAGGGTCTCACTGAGATGGACAGCGGAGATTATACCTGAAGCCTTTACTTCTTTTGACTGTGTAGCTCTTACCCAACAATGAAAAGCAATTTTAACACACAATGGAACAAAATAAGTTATAGATGAAGAATTGGTACCCTGGCATTTTTCTTTCAAAGCAGCTATGACATCAGATATCTTGCCATTTTAACCCTAAAAACAGCATCATTGCCAGCAGTCCTCAGCATACAATGGCCAATGATGAGAATCTAAGGGATATTATTCTTCTCGTTCTTTCATTTCATTTTCTTGATCATTTAGAGCGTGGGTGGTAAGAATATGGCACATAATAGGCGAAGGGAATAAAAGCTATAATAATTAATATTTTACAATGGCCTATAACCTTTCCTTCCAGGCTCTCAAGGTACTTTATGAAGATCTCTATTTTATGCAATACAAGATGAAAATTGAAGCAGGGATTCATTCAGCTTTTTCTGACTGTCACCGGGGATAATACTGACATCAAGCAGTGGGCCAGCGACCACATTAGGGTAGTAGAAACTGTGCAAGAGTACTGTGCACTGAGTCTCTGCCCAAACCCCGTACCCCACATTCACAGGATGAGATTCTACAGTGGATGGTGCTCAGAGGGGCCCGTGTCAGTCACACTGGATGAGGTCATGAGGATGGAACCCTCAGGAATGTGATCTGTGCCCTTCTGAGAGTCATGAGAGCTGCATTCTCCGTGCTCTCCGACACTGAGAATGTAAGACGTCAACAGTCCACAACCCTGAAGCAGACCTAGAATGTGACACCTTGCCTTGCATGCTCAGCCTCCAGATCACTTATCTGTCACCCAGTGACACAGAGCTGTACCTGAGGCAGTGTGGATGAGTTCATGGGGTGCTCACTGAAGTCTGGTGACCCAGGAAGGCCACAGGCAGAAATGCTACCTCACACAGAAGCGGCGCCATACCTGAATCTCAGACACAGGGCACTGCGGCTTCCTCTTCTGTCTGGCCATGGATGACATGACCACAGTCTTCTTTGCATAGAGACAGAAAGCTTTTAAAACTATTACTCTGAAAGCCACAGCAGCAACAACAAAAATATGGAGTTTTATAATACAAATACTATATATAACACAAAGTACAAAAAATACAAATAAGAAAATGATATGGGCTCCTTTTGTAGTCTCTTGGGTTTGGGCCCCAGTTCCTAGCTAATAACTCTGATAAACCTTATCTCTCCTCTCTCATGGTATTAGGGAATCAAACTTAGGGCTGCATGTTTGCTAGACAAGCACCTTACTTTCTATTCTTTAAATGACCAGAATGTTTAAGTATTTGGCCTTCAACCTCAGCTTTGTGGCACCTCTAGAACAGCTTTAGAACAGTAAAGGTGAAAGACAGGTATGTTGAAGTGTGTTAGACCTAGAAAAGTAAAACCCCACCCCTCTGTACATCACCTTTATAATAACAATTTTAAAATTTTCTTTAAAAAAAAATCTAAAAAGCGAAACCTCTTCCTAACCTTCTCTGCCCTCTTTTTGCCTATTCTCAAGGCAGGTCAGAGAAACTAGGAAATATACTGGAGTTCTCCCCTGCCTTTCTGTCTTGGAGTTGCCTGAAAAATCTCTTTGGCTGAGTGCTAGGGGCACTTGCCTTGCAAGTCTGAAGCCCTAGGTTCCATCCCCAGCACTACTAAAAAGAAAAAAATACCCACAAACTCTCTGACCTATCTTGTCCAAGAGTAAACTATAAAAACCCCATTTTGGATGGGCCCTGCCCCACTCTCTAAAGGAAGAAAGCCACATGGAGAGGCCAAGAATAAGCAGGCAGGCAGGCCTTGCTGGACATCCACTCACATTCCTATACAACTGTCTGCACTTCAGTCATGGCTCCAAAATGAAGACTGGAAGGAAACTCAAAGTGATGGAGTTGGAAGAACTTCTGGACAGCTGAGCACTGAAACTCCTCTAAAGGCAGCACACCCAGAGAGGCCTTGCCCCACCTCGCCCATGTCTCCTTCCATCTACATCCTCTGTGACGCCTTGATGATGAGTTGGGACACATGAGTGTGTGCTTCCCCGAGCTCTGCGAGGCACTCAGGTAAATTAATGGAACCCTATTGAGTGGGGTGGTGAACTTTGGCTTCTAAGTCAGTCACAAGCACAGATGAAAGAGCTTGGGACTCACAACTGGTTCAAACATGGGGAACATGGGGGGGGGCGGGGAGAAAGTGCTGAGGTACTGAGTGCTGAGCCTGTGGGGTTTGAACTAAACTGGTATCCCCTGGAGAAGTGACTGCTTATTTACTGATAGGGAGAAACACCTACAGGTCACAAAAGTGATCTGTGTTGCAGGACAGCGGTAGGCATTCTATACCCTTTACCTTATTTATTCTTTTGGATTGACAGACTTTCTTTTAAAGAGGCCATTTGTCATCAGAACATTCGTATGCTGGATATTCTAGCAGCATTGATGTCAGAGGCAAATACTAAAAGACACCAGAAGAGAGAACCTACAAACACATAGTTTCAAACAAACACACAGTTCAGTACCATGGACTGCAAGGCCCTTCATGGGATTAAGTCATATCTGTGAACAGGATGCCAACAACAGATACAAAACAGTGAAGGCTAAAATGAAGATGAAGAAAACAGTATGCCTTGAACCCACTTCTACTGCATGACTCCTCTGCTTAGGGACCAACAGCGGTCACTTACTTAAACCTGCTAAATAGAGCTTAACTTCTCTCTCAAACTTTCAAAGTCTTCTACAACTTAACTTCCCCAACTAAGCGAAGTCCCTTGTACAGGTAAAAGCTTTCTCTGGCCATGCCCTTGTCCAACATGGCTGAATCAATACTCAGGCTCATCCATCACTCCTCACAGCACTGCTAGCTTTTCCACGCTTTCCCTCTACTTTCTAGCACTCAAATCCTGGTAGGCTGAGAAAGGCAGCTCTACCCCAGATCTGTCCTCCCCAATGCATCTGCCCAACTTGAGTTCTCTGAACGCCTTCAGATTTAACCACTCTGTTTAGTGTTCACGTTCCATTTTTGGTTGCACAGGAGAACAGCTTATCACCCTAAACAAACTGGGGTATGTCTCAGTAGTCCCACGCAGTTTCTCTTGCCAATGTTGACTCAACTGAATTGGTGATTTAAAGAAATGTCTGCTGAATAAGGAGAATGAGAGTGATGCCAATGGGAGAATCAGAGACAAAGAGAGGAAAAACCCAACTTAGAGAAAAATAGGGACCAAAACTGACAGAGATAGAACATAAGCTAAGAGAAATAATTTGAGGGAAGTATGAAAGGAAAGTCAGGTGCGGTGGCTCATGCCTGTAATCCTAGTTACCTCAGGAGGCTGAGATCTGAGGATTACGGTTTGAAGCCAGCTTGGGCAGGAAAGTATGACTCTTATTTCCATTGAACTACCAAAAAACACTTGAAAAGGAGCTGTGGCTCAGATGGCAGAGCCCCTGCCTTGAGCAACAAAAGCTGAAGGACAGTACCCAGGCCCTGAGTTCCAGCCTCAGGACCAGAAAACACACACACACTAAAAAATAAAATAAAAGTGCCAGGTGTCAGTGGCTCACGCCTGTAATCCTAACTGCTCAGGAGGCTGAGATCTGAGGATCATGGTTCAAAGCCAGCCCGAGCAAGAAAGTCTGTGAGATTCTGGTCTCCAATAAACGATCAGAAAACTGGAAATGGTGCTGTGGCTCAAGTGGTAGAGCACTAGCCCTGAGCTGAAGAGCTGAAGGATAGCACCCAGGCCCAGAGTTCAAGCCCCACAACTAAAGAAAAAGAAAAAAAAACTATGAAGAGGAATTATAAGCCTTCACAACAGCGTCATTATAGACTGTACTGTAAACTACCTTGGCTGGGCTACATTACTTTTCCCCTGCCCAGAGCTCCAAACACACAGAGCGCTGTGAAAACTCACCAGAGCGTGAGCCATTCTGAATGTTCCCCTTCCTCAGTCCTACCTATGCCTCTGTTAGCTCCGACAAATGACACACACATGATCTTATCTAAAACCTGGCGAAAAGGCAAGCGACATCCCCTGACAAAGGAAAGGCCAGAAGGCCAGGAGTCAGTGCTCTAGGACGCTGATTTCACAGCCGGGCAAGCACAGTGTGTTCTCACGCAAGCCTAGACGGATACCCACTTTAAGTGGCCTCTTGATACAATTAAAGAGACACAAGAAAGGTAAAATGCTTCAGGCTGCTGCTGGCCGAACACAGCAGAGTGACTTACAGGAAAACACATTTTATCAATTGCAAGAACACTCTAACAGCTTGTGTTACCAGATCAAGTGCTCTGTTCTGCATGTCACTGCCCGAGCCATTCTTTCACGCCACTGGCAGCACACAGTAGGCTGGTTGACAGCAGCGTCCCCACGGCCACAGGTGAACTACGTCACACTACAATGCTGCAACAGCTACGACACCACCAGGTGACAAGAATTTTTCATCTCCTTTACAATTTTATGAGATTACTGTGCAGTCTGTCACTGAAATGTTATCGGAGACACAGTGCAGATGATGTATCTGTGTACATACATAGGTATGATTTAAAGCAACTGTTCAAACTAGAAAGAGAGAGCAATAATCATAACCATGAATTTCCTAACTCTGAAAGCACAGTCAGACTCTACATAAGAATACACTGTTTTTATTAAGGAAAAATGTTCTGAAAATAAATTATTTGCTGTTAATAAACAGACCCGCTTCTACATTAAGTCTCTAATCCCAAGTAAATTTCATCATCTGAAGCTGCTTTGGTAGTAAATCTAGCAGTTCAGCATCATTTTATTTCACTCTGGTGCTGTAGCTCACACAACTCCAAAACTAAAGTAAACTAATATATACACAGATATAGATATTAGATACAGATATACACAAGTATACCCAGATTATCATAGTTTAGTACAAAAGTATACACAAAACTGAGTATCCTCCCTCCTCTAAAAATATAAAACAGAGATTATGAAACATGCTCAAAAGTCAGATACTGTATTTCGTTTAGCTTTGGTCCCAGATTAAAGCTTCTAACTTCCTCTCAATGCCAGTCATAAAAATGAATCTTCCCTACCTTTCTATGACCTGTCTGATTTAGATAAGACCCTATTTTAGAAGGGGCACTGTCCAACACCGGGGAGGAGAGAATGCTGTACAGAGGCAGTTCTGAACAGACAAGCCTTCTGGGGTTTATACAACCTATTCTCTTAGTATTAGATAATATAAAGGAATCTCCAAGTCAGGTGCCAATTGCTGACACCTGTAACCTTAGATACTCGGGAGGCTGAGATATGAGGATCATCATTGGAAGCCAATCAGACCAGGCCGGAAAAGTCTTGCCTCCAACCAACCAAGCAAAAAACTTGGAAGTAGAGCTGTGGTAGGGTGCCAGCCAGCCTTTAGTAAAAAACCACAGGAACGGTGTCTAGACCATGAGTTCAAGTCCCAGAACCAGTACAGAAACACACACACACACACACACACACACACACACACACACACACAGTCTCTATCAAAACCCAAAGGGTAGGGTTTCATGAGAGCTTCCTTCCTCTCAACCTGTGGAAGATCCCGGTGGTTGGTCTGAAGAGAGCATGGACCCTTCCATACCTTACCTCTTCTGTCCCCTTTACAATGTCCTTCATAATATCTAATGTCCTTTATGCTCAGCATAATCAAGTATTCCTCTCAGTTCTGTGACTCACTCAAACAAATTTATCAAACCGAAAGAGTGGGTTATGGGAAACTTGCAAGCCGGTGAGTTAGAAGTACCGGCAGCAGACCTGGGCTTGATTGAGATTGGCATCTCAAGGGGAGGAGGGCGGGGCTGTCTCGGCCTGTGTGTGGTCATCCTGGCTCTGGGCAGAGTGTTGTTATGGTTTGATTTATAAAGTGTCTCCTCAAAAGGTTCATGTGTTGAAAGCTTGGACCCCAACTGGGGACTGGTGCTGTTGAGAGGTAGTTGGATCATGAGATGCTAATTTCATCAGTGAGAAATCTGTGGGAGTTCACACTCTAGGGGCTATTAGGAGGTAGGGGTCCGTGGAAGGAAGGCGGTCGCTATGGGCATGCTTCTGAACGCTCCATCTTATTCCAGGAACCTCCTTTCCGTGTGTGTGTGTGTGTATGTGTGTGTGTGTGTGTGTGTGTGTGTGTCTATCTTTCTCCTCTCTCTTTGTGTTCTCTCTCTTTCTCCCCCTCCTTCCTGGCTGCCATGAGGTGAGTAGCTTTCCTCTGCCACCATGACTATTTAAATGTCCACTTGTTCTATATATATTTTTGTGCCAGGCACTTGGATACATACTAGAAACCCTGTGCTACATGCTGGGAGTCCACTTATTCCAAATTATTTTCCTATAAACTATCTCACTCTCTTCTCACAACTATCTCATGAGGTAGCCAGGACAATTGTAACAATCCTATTTTACAGATGAGAAAAATGCAAAGCAAATATAAACATATATATATATATACATATATATATATATATATATATATATATATATATATATATATATATATATATATGACTTACTAGCACCAAAGCCAATGACATGGAGAGCTACAGCTAAGTAGTTATTCCCTAAATCCAGGGCTTGTGCTTGGTCTGCTATTAAAAATTCCCTATAATCTTCAAGTTTGGGCTCTTATTTACCCTTCCATCCTCTGCAAAGGGATTAAAAGGTCATTGAATTGGGGTTCGAAAAGTCAGAACAGAAGAACAGAGCCACCATGTGTGCAGAGGGGCGGTCAGCACTAACCTGTTACCCTTACACACGGGCACCCCGTCGCCCCCAGGAATCAGCTTCTTCTGTTCAACCACTCCATAGCTTTCTCGGCAGATCTACATTGGAGGCAGGAAAAGACATGCTCCAGTTTGGCTCACCATTTACCTTTCTCACAAACTAAAATGACTAGTTTAGAAACAAGCAGCACTTCGTAACCATATCTTTACAATTTGGAGGAGAAGACCGAATCTGAGTCCAAAAAACGTCAACCTTTTGACAAATATTTTTCAGTCACAGAGTTACCAGAAAATGCAATTTCAAGAGAAAAATGACCTGAACTCTAGAAAATAAGTATCTTGGCTGTGTCAGGAGAAAAGAGGATTCTTGTTTTGGTAATTTTACAAGTGGACAGATTAATCGTTGATTCATTTATCCAACATATTTCCTGAACTCTCATTATATTCACAATACTATGAGTAAAGTACTTTGATTCCCCAAATCAGAGACTTTATTGTCATTTGGTTTGGAGAACTCATGTTAATTGTGTCTTGTAAGCCTGATGAGATAGACAGTCACAATTCTAAGTATAAAAATTCTCACCGTGAAGTTGAGGCAGAAAGTCTCCTCGATGTCCTCGCCAGGGTAATCTAAAAGCTCTTGAAGGCTTCTAATCATAGAATGACAGAAAAGAAAAGAGGCAAATCAGATATTGCAATAGTGTTTCTACCGGTTGCTATTATATCTTGACCATTTGTAAGGAAGAACTATAAGAGATTTCTAGAATGAGCACAAATTCAGACTGAAAGAAAGCCACGAACTTATACCTGTCCCTAGACCTGTATTTTTTTCCTTTTCCTAGCTTGACATAGATTACCAGATTTAAGGGGACAATAAGACAGATTTATATCGGACACACTGGTATTTGTGAACTCTGGTATTGTTTGGGAGAGTATATATGGCAATATGGTCCTGTGGTGGCCCTATAGACAGGCTTCACCTATAGTCCTGAGTTATACAATGGTCCCCTCAGGAAAAAAAGAAAGCTACAAAGTCACCCTATCCTCTTAAGAATCTTAATCGTGGGTTTGGACCTACTCCCAGAAAACAAAATCCACAATGGCATAAACACAAAAGCTGAAATCCTCAAAGACCAAAATCTCTGTCTAATATCTCTAAAGTCCCCAAAATAATTCTAGAAAAAAGAATATGTAGGGGTGAGAGGTTAGCTAGTATTCATGAGATTCCACTCACTTTCTAGCATTAAAAAAAAGCCTCCAAAAGGTATAGTTATTATCACTTCTAAAAGAGGATTTAAGAAATACAAAAACATGCCAGACACCAGTGGTTTATGCCTATAATCCTAACTACTCTGTAGGCTGAGATCTGAGGATCACAGTTCAAAGACAGCCCAGGCAGTACAGTCCATATGAGATTCTTCTTTTTTAAATAAGTTTTTTATTGTGAAAATATTGTACAGAGGGGTTACAGCTACATGAGCAAGGTAATGAGTACATTTCCTATCAAACATTGTTACCGTCTTTGTTTTTCCCTACCATCCCTTCCTTCCCACCTCCACAACTACATTCCTCACCTAAATTGTAAAATTCATTTTTCAACATAGTATCTTGTACATCTCATTGTTACAATGGTCAACCTGTATCCCTATTTAAACATTTTGTTTTTTCCCTTGCCCTACCCGAATTAGACCATTAGACCGACATCAAATACAGTGGGAGAGGAACATACAAAACAACAACAACAAAAAATCACATGGTACCTTATAAATACATTAGAAACAACAGCAAGAAAGAAAAAACCACTTGTGTCCCTATCTTGGGGTTCAGTTCACTTAACTTCATCTTATCTGGTCATATGTACGTAGCTTTGACCTTTTCTACTTGTCCCAGACATATACTAGTTATTGCAAATAAGGGAAACCATGGGACCTATGTTTCTTCGGGCCTGGCTTACTTCACTTAATATCATTTTTTCCAAGTCTTTTCATTTCCTAACAAATGTGGCAGTGTCATTCTTTTGGATGGAGGCATAGAATTCCACTGTGAGTGATATACAAATGTGATATGTATATATATATAAAATTTTCTTGATCTATTCATCTACTTAGGGGCATCTGGGTTGGTTCCATATCTTAGTTATGGTAAATAATGCTGCAATAAACATAGTTGTGCTGGTAGCTTTAGTATGGTCTTGCTTGTGATCATTTGGGTAAATGCCCAAAAGTGGGATTGCTGGGTCATAGGAGAGCTCTATGTAGTCTTTTGAGGAACCTCCATACTGCTTTCCAAAGTGGTTGAACAAGTTTACACTCCCACCAACAATGTAGTAGGGTTCTCTTCTGGCCACATCCCCTCCAGCATCTGTTGTTATTAGAGTTCTTGATTATCACCATTCTAGCTGGAGTGAGGTGGAATCTCAATGATGTTTTGACTTGCATTTCTTTTATGGCTAGAGAGGTTGAGCATTTCTTCATGTGTCTATTGGCCGTTCTTATTTCTTCTTCAGAGAAGTTTCTCTTTAAGTCTTTAGCCCATTTATTTATCGGGCAGTTGTTTCTTTGGGGATTTGTTGTTGGCGGATTTAAATTTTTGAGTTCCAAGTATATTTTAGATATGAGACCCTTGTCAGTTGTATGGCTAGTGAAGATCTTCTCCCAATCTGTGGGCTTTCTATTGATCTTGCTAGCTAGGTCCTTTGCCATGCAGCTATCTCTAATTAACCACTCAAAAACTTGAAGTGGTATTGTGGCTCAAAGTGAGAGAGCGCTAGCCTTGAACAAAAGAGCTCAGGGACAGCACCCACGCCCTGAGTTCAAGCCCCATGACCAAAAAGGAAAAAAAAAAACATAAAAACATAATAAAATATTTCGATAAGCCACTGATGCAACAAAATGGGCAAATAACACACATTTTTGCATACATAAAGAGTTGCACAGGTATAAGAGTTATGAGGCAGGCGTATGATGCATATGGAGAAATATGTCAAATGAGAACCCAGCTTTATGACTGTGGCATCCAAACTATATTGGGGGCGATCTAAGCCTTGTGAGGTGATGGGTCAAAACCCACCACATATATGTCTGCCCAAAGAGTTGAGATCTTGAGAAATTTCGTCTTACAAACCCAGATGAACAAAAAGAACATCTTTTCACTAAGCAAGTGCCAATCACACATGCACAATGCTTCAACACAAAGTCAGTATAAAGATAATGCATTTTCATGAAGGCGAATTTGCACACACACAGACGAAAAGCACAAAACAAAGAAAGGCTCTCGAAAAGTCTTCACACAGTCTATATTCCTCCAGTACCGGAAACCACGCAAAGATGAAACTCATAGATAGCAAAGGCAATTGTTAAAACTCATGTAGACGATTTAAGATAGGAGAGGCTGTTTTTTACTGCTGGTGCCAGAAAGGCTATAGTTCCGCTGTTCAAAGCAGAAGAAAACTCAGTACTAACTCTTAGAGACCTCAATTTATCCTCAGTTTTTGTCCTCTCCAGTCTGCTCCATCACTGGCGGCATCTGTGCTGCCTCCCACGCAGAGGGCATGCCTTCCCATTGTCACTCCCCAGACTACGGCTCCAATCTCCTGGAAGCACACCGGGCCCCTAGGCATCCATTGTGCCGAACATAATGCAGCTCTCCTGCATATAATGAAAATGCGCGAGCCCCTTGTCCAGCATTCCTCTATTCTTCTTCTCTATCTTCTTTCCTCCCCCGTCCCCATGGGGCTCAGGCTATTGACTATTGGCTTTCAAAATTTCAACCTTTGGGATTTTAATCTCTTTGGAGTTGAAATTGGGAAAGTTTGTCCATTTTCAAAGGCTAATGCAGAATTCTTCTATGAACCAGTAGTTCCACTTTAGATATACATCCTCACAAAAGTGTGTACACACGTGTTCATGGCAGCACTCCTCATAATGAGATGAGCCCGAAGTGGACACAGGACAAAGGTCCACAGACTTGTGCATGGATAAGCAGCATGTGGCAAAGGCACATGAAGATGATCCCTGGATGAACCTGAAATACTAAGTAAAAACTTTACACTGAGTTACAGAAGTCAAACACCGGGGACCACATATTGCATGATTTTATTAATCAGAAATGTCTAGAACAGGCAAGCTGACAGGGGAAGAAAGCAGACTAGTGGTTACCAGCGCCGGCAGATGTAGAGATGGGGGTGAGAGCAAAAGAGTATAATGGGTTTTGCAGGGGAGTAATGAGAATATTCTAGAAGTAATGGTCACCATACTCTGCTAATAAACTTAAAGACCACGGATGGTACACTTCAAATGGGTCGATTATATGGCATGTGAATTTCATACCAATAAACTTTCCCAAGCCTCCCTTATCAATAATCCCTCCTTGACATCTCTGTACCATAAACAGTGTCACAGAGTTTCCATTATTTTTGTTCAGGATAAGAAAAGCAGAGTTGATTTTGTTTCCTGGGCAGCCATGGCCTCTCTCTCTTTCCTCTCTCTCTCTGTGTCTCTCTTTACGGTATCCCCTGTCTTTCCAAGTATTATCAAGCAAGTACCCACACAGTCTACACGGGCTCAACAAACTCAGACTTGGACATGTGGTATTTTCAATCTTTCATCTCCGTGCCAGCGCCAGTCAGAACTGTCCCTCAAACTCATCTGTGAATCTCTTTGCTTCGTACCTTCCTTCAGTAGGGGACAGCTCCTTTAAGTCTTCCAAGCCAGGCTTTACGTTCAGTAACTTCTTGTAGAGAGCCAAGGGGAAGTGGAGGTCTACCACGGTGGAGTTGTAGATGGCCAGTCCACAGGTTATGCCAATCAAGTGAAACCAGTTATGTTCTACAAAACACTGTTAAGAATGCATGCAAATGTATTAGAAAGAAATGCAGAATTTGCAGGCCTCAAAAGTTCTTAAAAGAAACAAGGCTATATTCGTATTTATCTTTTGAGTCAGGGAAATGCCCTTGACCAACGTTCCCCTATCCTCAAAAGATACAATATGGACAAGCACCCCAAAACAGCACCCGCTTATGTACGCAGAGCTGTCCGCCTATTTTCTGCAAGGACACAAACGCTGTAGCCTGTGCTGTCCCCGTGGTAACCAGTAGCCACGGGTGGGGACTGTGCACTAGAAATGCAGTTAGTAAGCTGAGCAAATGACTATTATTTAATTTAATCTGCCACATGAAGATAAGGACTACCTTTTGGAACAGTGTAGCTCTAGGGGGAAAAGCTGGTAGGAAAAAAAAAAAAGCCTAAATTATGGGCTGCATGAAATTACAATGCCTTTTTAAAACTCAGCTCTCCTGAACTTTCAAAAATCAAGTGTGTGTGTCTATGTGTGCATAGTCATATACAGTTACCATCATAATTACAGAAGATGTATTTGCCTACTTCTATCCCACACCATACATCAGTTTCTTTTGCACACTGTGCCCTCGTGGGTACTCAGATGGAGATACTGCCTAGGAGAAATGGAACAGGGGAGCTTGGCTGATGTGCACGGTGAAGACTTGCCAACAGGTCAAAAACAAATACATTGAGTACACTACTGACACATTTTCATGCCTCCCATGCAAGTTTAGAAATCAAGGAATTGGAATAACAACAAAAAAAAAGGAAGCTTAATAAAATAGGTTATCTAATTGTGACATTGTTAACTTACTGTATCTGAAAACCACAAGAGATTTGAGTCCTGATAGTACGTAAACATCCCATAGATGGGATTCAAAAGTTCTTTCAACAGCAGAAGAAAGAACTCCTTGGTGACGCCGCCAGCATCCACCGCTTCCTCCCCGTCAAAGATTACCTTCAAATCATGAACACATAATTAATACTTCAGGGAAAAATCAATGGCAGGTTTTAACTCTCTTCAATAAGACTTTTTTTTTTTGTCTAGAATCCAGGAAGTAAGAGAAGAAAGACAAAGGAAGAAAGATGAGATGAAAACTTCAGAGTATATCTGTTGGTGATTATTGCTGTCATTCGTGTGAAACAGGGCTTGATATGCACACAATTTCAAATAGGTGCTCCAAGGAATTAATAAGGTAGTCACAGGTTTATGCTGTGTCCACAATGAATCTACCATGTATTTAAAGGCAGTAAGGTGGACATCAAATGGAGCAAGAGAATTGTTGGGCATGCTAACGCACCCCTGCAATTCCAGAACTCAGGAGGCTAAGACAGGAAGATAAGTGAAGCCTGGACTACAAAGTAAGACTCTCCTTTAAAAAAAAAAAAAGGGAGGAACGAAAAAGATATGTGTAAAGAAGCAACAGAGAATAAAAGTGTGAAATATAAAATGAGAGGTAAATGTTCTGGCACACAGAGAAAAGATTCACTTGGGTAAAGCAATACTTTCTGGAAGAAAGCATTCTCAATGGGGTTCTGGAAGTCACAGAGGCCATGAAGGGAGGAGGACCTGAGAAGCAGACAGAGCTCTGAGCTTGCTGAGTGGCTCAACAGGCACTCTGAACCCATCGCGGGCACTGACAATAACAACTACATCAAACCAACTATGCTAATGAGTTTACCACATGCCACCACTTACAAAACTATCAGACTAATCTCCAAAACAGCCTTACGCACAGGAATTACTATTATCTCCATTTTATAGACAATGACTCAGGCCTGGAGCTAAAGACAATGTTTGAGAAAGCTTACATTTGTAGCTACCTAGAGCACAAGAGGAAGGGTGGAGACTGAACTAGTTACACAGATGTCAGCAGAAGACTAACACAGACATGCCATAAAACAAGAACTCCCTCTCTATTCGGGACAAAAATAAAATAACAAAACAGGTAGGAATCAACAACCAGATAGGATCAAAAAATATAACCCAGGAATCCCAGGGAGGAAACACGGGCAGCTTTCTGGAACTGATAGGACATACTGAAGCCACAGCCTCACACGTGCTATGCAAGCACGCTCTCTCTGAGCACTGTCCCTAGCACTTTTAACATTTTATTTTGAGACAGGGTCTCTCCTTAACTTGTCCAGACTGATCTTGAACTTGTGATCCTCCTACCTTAGCTACCCTTGTAGCTGGGATGACAGACGTATACCACCATGCTGGTCCTTAGAAGAAATTCTGGTCCTTAGAAGGGTAACGACATTATGAAAGCAAGTCTTGCCTATTACATTTCTGAAACTGGTGTCTGTAACAAAATTGGTGTCTAATTTTAAACACCTTCAAACAATTCACTACGTATTCCTAGGATGCCACCTGTATACTAGATATTGCTCCGAAGCAGGAGCACAGTAAGTGGTAATACCAGCATGCAGCATCTGCCAGGAGATGCAATGTTTTCATTTAATAATTTCACCTGGCTAAACTCGTCTATCCTAACCGGCTAAAGGCTTAGGCAATTTCACTAGCTTTCCATTTTCCTGTTTCACTTTTCTTCTCCTAAATCCTTTTTGATTAGCAAGTATTAACTGCAGGAAGGGTTTCATTAGACTATGTCCATCCATGTCTTTTTCGTCTGTGGCATCCTCATTTTCCTAGGTGAGCAGGCAGCAGGGCACCTAGATGCAGCCTTGCTCTGCTGCTTGCTGGGGTTAGCAGGGCTGGTAGGGTGCCACAGAGACCCGGCGGCAGCAGACAAAGGCCCGCCAGCCTTCCCATGATCCACTAGCTTCTCGATCTCATGTTCCCTCGGCACTGCATGTCCGTGTGGCGGTCTGACAAAGCCGCTGATTAAATTCGTGAAACATGAATGAGCAAAATGATGAATGGCTGTCCTCCACAATTTTAATAAGATCTTTGCTGTTTTGTGTTTTGTTTTTGCAGTTGAATGAAAACCCAGGCAGGGAGGCAGGGAGCTCACTTTGAGAGGCTTTTTCAAGTCAATATCAGAATGAATGCTCAGCTCTCTCAGGGCGTCTCCAACGAGGTTGTCCCGGCGAACATGAAGGACCAGGAAGGGGCTTCTGGCCAGCAGAGGCTCCAGGGTGAGAAGCATGAAGACATTCTGCAGGTTGGCGCCGTTGACGGCCACCTGGAAGGCAACACCGGAACCTGGTTACTCAGAGCGTGCGGGGAGGAGAATGCAAAATTTTTTTTTCAAGTTACTGTTTGTACAACACACAAGGCTTTCTAATCTAAACTCAAGTGATTAAGTGAAACAGTGTGTGAATCATACGACCTATAACCAGGTCCAAGAGAGTAATTTGGACTAGCTGATTAAGACTAACGTAATGATGTACTTGAAGAAATAGGATGGATTGGGTAAAAACAGAACTTCCAAAATAGCAGGACAAGATGCTCATTATAAGCTTTTCATTCTGTAAAAAGTGGCCATTCCTCTGGAAAACATTTAAATTGTCAAGGTTATGAATGTGTCACTATGAAAACACACACTACATATATAGATGCGGAACAAGAAAAAGAAGACAAAGAGACAAGAGATAGAGAGATGAGTAAAGACACATGTCCACCAACAGTAGGAACCAGTAGAGTGGATTGTTAATTTTCTAAAATGCCATCATAAGCTTAACAAACTCTTTGTTTTATAGTTAGAATATGCCCTTAAAATCTTCTTGCTAACTGGCTTCTATTCAGTAAAGATCAAGATCTATGAGCTTATTTCTCCTATACTGAGCGTCAGCAAACTATCACTCGACTCTTCTAATCCAGTCTGTTATCTGATTCTGCACAGCTCAAGCTAGTAATAGTGCTTACAGTTTTGAATGATTTAAAAAAATCAAAAGAAAAATAATGTATCCCATGAGAAAAATTATATAAAATGGAACACATACACACACACAGTTTTACTCAAATTCCAGTACATATGCACTGTCACAGAGACCTTATGGCCCATAAACCCTAAAATATCTACCCTCTGGCCATTACAGAAAATAGTTGTCACCCTAATCTATATAAATATGCATTCAAACATGTATGTTATAGTTAACATAGAACTCTAGACATGGTAGCATATACCTTAATCTTAGCATTTGGGAGGTTGAGGTAAGACCATTTCAAATTCAAAGCTAGCTTGGGCTATATAGTAAGAGTGTCTCAAAAGACAAATAACAACAAAAAATTATCAAGAGGTTTATAACAGTTCCAAGAGTTACCAGATATACTTGCTCCTACTTGGAAAAAAATTGTAACAGAAGAAAAACATCACAGAAAGAAAAACATAATTTTTAAAATGTGGTACCTGCATCTGTAATTCAGCATCAGTCTGTAGCATTTTGGTCTTGGCTTGGGCATCAAAGATGAAAGGGTAGGCGCATAGTGTTACAGCATCCTGGAAGAAAACACATCATAGGCAATTTTACAGTATTTTACAAAGAATAATATTGGGAAAATAATAGAAGGAAATTTAAAAAGGGTCATTTACCTGTATTATAGATGGTCTAGCTTTCTGTATAAAGAAACAAAAAGGGTCTTACTTGAAATCCAAAGTCTGAATTTTATCCTCCCCAATATCAAATTTAAAAAAGCAAAATCATATAGCCTGACTATGTAGCCATCTATGTATGGCTCTAACTCCACCTGAAGAGTTGAATACATTTTGATGGAAAGGGAAAGATACTTTAACAAATAGATTAAGGGGGGGAAGCAAAACCAATTCTAAAACAAGTGGAAGGGCTTTTAAAGGTCATTTCATTAATTCGCCAAAATTTTCAGCGTTAATTGAATTCTCTTTATAAGAAATCTAATTCCAGTGGGGCATGGTAGCACTAATCACAGCACTTGGGAAGCCGAGATACAGGATATCAAGTTTGATGCCAACTGGGCTGTCACACACACAAAAAAAAGAAATGGAAAAATATGTAATTTCCAAACAGAAGTTGTATAGCTTTGACCTCACAAGTTAATTTTATTGGGTAAATTGGTTGATTATTCCTCATTCAAAATGCTTGGTACCAAAAACATTTTGAATTTTTCAGATTTTGTAATATCTGTGTCTATGGAACGAGAAATACTGGGAAATGGGATCAATGTCTAAGCACAGAATTCATTATGCTTCACCCAGCATGACGCTCATCTCGTACAGTTCCACAGGGCCGAGTTTTCCAACCGTGGCATCATGTTGGTACTGAGAAGATTTCTGATTCTGGAGCACTTGGATTTCAGATTGTGATTGCACAATCTGTAGTGAGGACTATGCTCTATCAGGTAGTATGTTATCCTCACACATACCAAGGAAAAGCCAAATATACCCAAAGATAGTTAGTAAACATATAACAGGGACTTTGAAACCGTTTCTGCTAAACCAAATACTGACTCCTCCACTGAGTCTGTCTCCTGCAATCACTTAGGGTTCTAGGAAGGAAGAAAGGGAGTGACTGATAGAATGACAAGGGACTAAAACTATGCCCAAGGAAACGACCAGCAGAGCCTTGCAGGACAGATCACTCTCAAATGATGATGAGGAAGAAGAGGAGGAAGGAGGAAGAGGAGGAGGAGGGGGAGGGGGAGGAGGAGGGAGAGGAGGAGGAAGGGGAGGAGGAGGGGGAGGAGGAGGAGAGGGAGGAGAGGGAGGAGGAAGAATGGAGGAATCTCTTTCTTGGCAACCTGATTTCTCCTCTCAAGTCATGATGGCAGCCACCTTCCCAGAACATCTGGAGAGCCAGAGCTGCGACAATCCATCAGGACACCTTTATTTAAACCTGGGCTGTTTAATCATGGCCCTCTCTCCCTTTGCCTTAATTCTTCTGCTTAACCTTATGGTCAGGTCTGTACTAGAGATAGTTATAATGCCCCCTTTGCCTCCTTCCACACATAGCAAGCTGCAAAACACAGCTCTTTTCTCTGCCTTTCACCACTACTCCTCTCTATTGGCTTACTGGAGCCAGAGGCCTGGCCTGAGGCATGAGACCCCTGGAGTTGGGCCTCTGGCCTATGACTCCAGGTCCACACTGTCTCTGACTGGGCACTTATAATTTTGCCTGGGAAGACACTCGGTGTCAATATGTGAATGTATCTGTGAATCAGCTTTTGAGCAGAGGATTAATGGTAACCACATAAAACTACAATGAAGCATACCTAACCAGAAATGTAATTTCATGTTCAGCTTAATAATAATGTAATTCACTTAAAAGAAGTTTCTATGGAGTTATTCTCAGAGATCTGAATGTTCTATCTTTTTAATGATTTCCTAAACAAAAGAAAAGCCTTTTCTGAATGATTTCCTCATGCCATGTGCTATTATCTTGATGACAGCATTGGAAATGCATAAGGACAATATGAAGAGGGAAAAGCAGTCCTGCCAGTGAAATGCTGCATTCACCAAGGAAAAGGCCAGGGGCCTGCTGGGCTGCAGGACGGAGATTTCCCAGCAGATGAGAGAAGAGCTGAGTCATGCAGGCAGCAGGCCTGACACACGGGCCGGGCAAGAGGCCGGCCTTGGTTCCTGAAGAAACGCTGTGGCCACATTGGGTAAGGGAAGCTAATGTGCATTTTGATTTTAGTGCTTTGTTCAAATACAATTTGCAAGTTTGTTTTGCTTTCAGAGTTGTTTAAATGCTGTATGAACATGAAGTGCATACTTCTTTCGTGTGTATGCATATTTCAAGGAAATCATTCGCAGGTAATTACAATTACAATCTACCCTGTTAATCCTTTAGAACTGTATTCCTTCAGGGATTGTAGAACATTTCTCTAACGGGAGCAACCATAAGCACAGACAAACTGCGGTCCGGTGAAACCAGATATGGAATCACGCAAACATCATCCGGGCTACTGTGACTCGCTCTCATGCCTCCAGAGCTAATTATTCTGAAGAACTGAAATTGTCTGAAAGCCACAGCCACCCCCACCCTGTTACACGACACTCCGCAAAGACCCCTCTAGGCTAAGCACCTACAACACACAAAGCATCCTGGGGAAGCAGGCTTTAAACTGAAACCAATATTTAGAATTCCATAATCTCCCTCTCAGGAGAAATTAGTTAATTCCAAGTACCATTTCACCAGGGAAAAGATACTAGATGCATGTCCGTATACCCCGCAAGGTAAAGGTTCTAATACTGAATGTGAGAAAAACAATAATGAAATTGGCTAAGGCCTGGACATAAATTCTTAAGTTGTTGTTGTTCCAAAATCTACTCAAGAATAGTTTGAAATCATCCTTACAAGAATGGACACGTACAGGGCTTCAGGGGCTCACGCTAACTACTCAGGAGGCTGAGATCTGAGGATCACAGCCCAGGCAGGAAAGTCCATGAGACTCTTATCTCCAGTTAACCATCACAAAGCCCAAAGTAGAGCTGTGGCTCGAATGGTAGAGCACTAGTTTTGAGCAAAGAAGCTCAAAGATAGTGCCCAGGCCTGAGTTCAAGCCTCAGAACTGGCAGCAAAAACACACCCAAACAACCAAGAATGGACAGGCACAGAAGCAGAAGAACTCAATGGGTCAATGACATTTTACATCAAAGTCCTCTACACAGAAACACCCCTAAAAAGAAAAGTGTGACCTATGAGGAGGCTATACCTGCACACAAGCATCTGAAAACTTTCTCTGCTCCTATCCAGCCACAAGGAGCTCTTCCCTTCTCCCTTCCTATACACAGCCCCCAATACCGACAGGAGCTGGGAGGAAGATCTGTGCCGACAGCTAATGACCTCCCTACCGACTGACTGCTCAATGAACTCTTTTGGCACAAACCAGTGCCATTGCATTGGCTTCTCTGAGCACTGGGCAGTGAGCCCTTGCTGGGTACAAATAATAATATACCTTCCCTGTTTTAAGAACTGGTATTGTGTTGGGGTTATAGAGGTATCTGAGTCATCAACAAAAGCTTTCTATCTCTTGACTCTATGTAATCCCAGAGAGGCTACTGATCTTAGGGGCAGCATATCCCTAAAAATGAGCTTCACAAACTTAAAACTAGCAACAGACCAGTGAATCTCATTTGGAAGGTCCCTGTCTAGAATGGAGTTGCATTTTGACCTAAATTCATTTTTTAAAGTATATGTAATAGAAACAGTGATCCAATAAATGGTACAGAGTAGAAGAATTAGGAACACCATAGTCCCTAGTGTTTCCAGTTCTTTGGCTCTGTGTGTGTGTGTGTGTGTGTAAAGTCAACATTCCTAAATGTGTCTGTGCAGGTGGCATTCACACGCTTGCAGCACAGTCTGCCTCTCCTAGGTCTTCCTAGCCTCACATGTGCACACCAACGGTCCTTGGGCCCAGAGCCCCGTGTGCCGCATCTCCTACTTGTGCAGCAAGATGCACACTTTCTGGAGCTTTCATTTTTGAAGGGAGGGGTGTGTGTGTGTGTGTGTGTGTGTGTGAGAGAGAGAGAGAATTCTTCACATTTGCTGCCCTCTACAGGAGAAAATAAAGATGCTCACTGTGTGTGTGTGTGTGTGTTTGTGTGTGTGTGTGTGTGTGTGAATTCTTCACATTTGCTGCCCTCTACAGGAGAAAATAAAGATGCTCACTCTGTGCCATCTGATTTCCAAACACAAATGATGGCAGGTTATGAACGGAAATAAAATAAGTCACTATCACCTCTTCTGAAAATGGGCAAAAATCAGCCACTTTAGAATGTTCCTTCTGCATTCATGTTATAGCTCTTTGTAATTTCCTCTTCACTGCAGCCTCTGGACTGAACTAAACATTCTGCCCTCTTCCACTTGAGCCACAGCGCCACTTATGGCTTTTTCTGAGTAACTATTGGAGGTAAGAGTCTCACAGACTTTCCTGCCACCAGCACCTGGCAAAGTATATAAGTTTGTCTGATTTGGGGAGGGGAAAGGGAAGCACAGAAATGGTGGGACAAAGGGCAAACAAATTCAGCAGTAAAACATATTAGACACTATGTTGGAAATGAACTATACACTGGGGTGAGGGCAGTCAAGGGGAAAAACTATGAGAGAACATGACACTGTTCAAAAGGAAATACATTCATTACCTGAATCATGATCTGTAACCACTCTATATATCACCTTTACAATAAAAATAAAAAACAAAAAACACCACATTCTGCACAGGTGGACCCATGTCCACAGCATGTCTCCACCCCCAGCACTAGTCCAGATCAAAGACACATTAGGCCCTCAAAAATGCTTAGTTAGAAATAACTGCTGAGCTCCTTATAGGCTAATCAGTCTGCAAGGAGGCCCTTCTAGCCTGCTCCCTTTTGGTTCTGACAATATGGTTACAACACCTATCACAAAGGAGAATGCTAGGCCTAAAAAAACTAGGTAACTTGTCTGAGACCGGAGTAGTAAACCAGAAATGAGACTTCATCCCAGTTTGTTTTGTCTGAATATATCCTCTGCCTATTTGCTACACTACCTAAAAATTAACATGGTAAATCCCTGCATTGTTCATTCCTCCTACCGTGCTTTACAGTGATTAACATAACAAAAAAATAAGAAATAGAAGTTTTTAAGCAAAAAAAAATCAAGATATCAAGATACATACATTTCAATTTCTAATTATACTATGCTTTCTACAACAGAGAAAAATTCTACTGAAATCCTGAAAGTCCACACACTAAATCAAGCTAATTGTGGTAACCAAATTGCTACAGAGGAGATAAGCATCTATGATTCAAGCCCTAATTTTACTATATGTTATGAGAAAAGAATCATAAAGTAAAAAGTTATTCATTTAAGTGACTCCATTCAGAAACCACAATCATGATAATGCAGTTTTGGGTTTTGTTTGTTTGTATTTTGTCTGTTGTGAGGCTTGAACTCTGGGCCTGGATGCTGCCTCTGACCTCTTTTGCTCAAGGTTGGTCCTCCACCAGTTGAAGCCACAGTGCCACTTCTGATTTTCTGGTGGTTAATTGGAGAAAAGCATCTCATGAACTTTCCTGCCCAGAGTTGGCTTTCAACCGCTACCCTCAGATCTCAGTCTCCTGAGTAGCTAGGTTTACAGGCATGAGCACCAGCACCTGGCAATAATGCATGTTTTTAACATAACTTTAATATAATTACTCTTTTAGGATCGAGTCAAAAAAAAGCTTAGAAGCCAGATAATAGGCTTTTCTAACTGACTGAATTTTTTTAAATTGTGGTTAAAAATAAATGTATAACAAATGCTATCATTTTTAAACATATAGCTCAGTAGTATTAAGTATATTCATACTGCTGTATAAAAGATCTCCAGAATGTATTAATCTTGCCAAAGGGCAGATTCATTAAAAAAAACAGCTCCCATCTCCCTGCCACCCACCCCTGGAAACCACTGCTTTAGATACCTTAATTTTTTTTCTTTATTGGCTTGTTTGTTACATGCCAAGCATACCCTTTAACACCAAGCTTTAGCCCCAGTCTCGCTAACATAAAATGTATAACATTCTGCATGACTACTTATTTATGACTTGTGGTGACATTTATGATCACCTGAAGCACTTTCAGGCTTCAAGAATGCAAGAGCTAGCTAGATGAGAGACAGGAATGATGCTAAACATCAAAAACCAAGGCCTAAGTTGTGTGACTTAGCTGTGCTCTTCTTGTCCTGACTTGGACTTTGAAAATAGCCGACTGAAGCTTCCCAGGAATTCTTACCATTCCCGCTTGATGCAAGAACCACATGAGGTAGTCTTCCTGAATGTCCACAAGGTTAGAAATCTCAGGAATGTAAAATGTATCATATTCCACGTGCTTCACCTTAAGATTTACCTATGAAGAACAAAATAAGAACCAAAGTCAGATGATGATTTCCCAGGGGAAATCCCAGGAGGGCACTTCACCTCCCCCCCCCCCCACACACCAATCTGGGTCACTCCTCTCCCCATCAGCTCCTTAATATGCTCACCTTGTATAACTTCTCCAAGAGCTTGAGAGCTGCTGTGATGTAATTGTCAAACAGTGCAGGAAGTAAGAACGTCTTCCTTCCCCTCAGGAGATAAAGGGCTGCACCTTTATAGAGGTTTACCAGCTTCATGAAATATTTTGGGCATACCTGAGACCACCAGTTATCTTAAGAAAAAAGAAAAGACAAGACATGCTTCAGCACACAGCAAGTTTTTACATCCTCTGCCTGCTAGCTAAAAACTCCTATGGCTAGAAGATAAAAATTAGTCTAAATTGCAGTTTCCCAAAGTGGACTTTAAGAAGAATTCATTAGAACATTTCTGGCAAAAGCAGCAGTTGTACAAGAATCCCTGGGGCTTTCTTTTTTTACAGTGCTTCATCTGAATTTTCTCAAAGACTCATGTTGAAGGAAAACCTAAAGTCTCAATTCAGAAGATACTTAAGTATCTTCTGAGGCAGGAGGCATACCCACTGTGTTACTCCCAAAGTGTTTTGTTCTACGAGATTTTTTTGTTTTTCATTTCGGCAGTACTGAGGTTTAGAAGCAGGGCCTTGTGGTCAGTGGGTGCATTACTGTTAAGCCATGCTTCCACACGTGTTTTGCTTTGTTGGCAGTACAAAGGTTTGAATTTAGGGCCTCACTCTGGCTAGGCAGGAGCTTGACCATGTGCCACACTTGCCCTTTTGTGGGCTGGTTACTTTTGAAATAGGGTCTCACTGCCCTGCCACATACTTGGACCCTATTCCCCCTACATTTTAGGCTTCCTGTGGAAGCTGGGTTGACAGGCACATGCCAGTTTTTTTTTCTGTTGATATGGATTCTTGAGGGCTTTTCTGCTTGAGATGACCTAGAACCTCAATCCTCCCAACCTCAGCCTCTCACGTACCTTATATATGGGCGCATACCATTACACCCAGCTATGGGTTGAGGAGCCTCATGAGCTTTTCTGCCAGGGCTGGCCTCAATCTGTGAACCTAGTGATCTTATCCTCCCAAGCAGCTAGGATTACAGGCAGGAGGCTCTGGTGCTTGTCTTCAAGTGGTGTTCTCATGTGCTAGTCAACACCATTCCTAGCTGCCAAGGAAAAACCCTGCACCAGGGATACAACAGACACCTTGCCCATGGCATGCATCAATACAGAAACCATTCTTTCCCTCCATGAGGCAAAATCAGTGGGAAAAAAATCCCTTCTGCTTTTTTCCCCAAACAATGCTTTCTCCTAGCCTCAAAGATTATACCACTGGCTTCTTTCGTCAGAAGTAAACTCAGACATACTGAAATATTTAAACAATGCAATAATAGGATATCTGAGATTACTTTCACAATATTCCATAAAAAAATTAAAAGGCGAAAAGGGAGGATACAATAAAAAGAACAATGTATTGGCAACTCTTGATTTGTTTTGACGGTTACATATAGTGTTCTGTCTGCTTTGGGGTAGTCTTTTAAATTTCAATAATCCGGTTTAAAAGCAAATTAAGATTAAAATTGGACAAGTCTGATTTCTTTGTATTATTATACCCTGAAAAATTAAAAATAACAAAACACTAAACCCCCCCCCCAAACTTAAAAGTCAGGTACTATTTCTTCAGAGATTGCTACTGCTCTATCTTATAATTATCAGAAACAAATGAAGGAAAAAAAATGGGCCCCAGAGGCTTTTGACCTTAAAAACATGAAGTACTAATATGTTACTAAATGCTTTCAATATTATTTCTATTTTTGTCTCTTGTACAAAGGCAGAAGCAACAAGGAAAAGCCAGAAGCAGGTCTCTTCACTTCAAGGGGAGACCACGCTCAAGTCACAGCCCAGTCCGTCTGGAACACAGAAGTTACTGAGTTGTAACAAACACCTAAAAAACAAAAAAAAAATTACCAAGGGGGGGGAAAAAGTAAAAAGACAGGTGACAGACTTTCTGCACGTGATTAATAAAAACATCTCAGGCGCCGCTCCCATGAGAGACACTCTCCAATTCACTGAGGAACGGAAGGTTCTTATCTCAGCAAAGTGTCCGGAGCCTGCAAAAATCAGGGTAGACTCAACTGTCCTAAAAAAGAAAAAAACAAAACAAACATTTGGTAAGTCCCCACTAGGTCACTTGTCCCCTCTCTTTCTTGAAGATCTCAGTATCACCAAACCTGTTCACCTCACTCCCACCCCCTAGAGTTGGTTCTGGAGAAAGAAAGAATAGAGACCTGTTTTTGAAGTGCCACTAACTACAAGCAAATGGGAGAGGGAAAAAAAAAAAAATAGTTTAAAACTGAATAATCTAACTTTGTGACTTGCTTCTAATCAGGACTAATTTGGCATGAGTTGTTTCAAACTGTAGGGAACAGTTTACTTTGGCCAAATTTACAAACGGAGTTAACGGTTTATGTGAAAGTTTTGCAATGGCAAGCGAGACCATTCGATCTCAATCCACGGAGGGCTAGCACACACACTGACAAAACAGGTGAGTCCAAAGGCGCTGGTATTGAGTTTAGCAAATTCACCTAATACTTTGCTGGGGTTTGTATCCAGCCGCAGAATGGCCATTGCCAAGGGAATAGTCAGCGATATGTAATACTTGGAATCTTGGAGCAGGGGAAATTCAGGGAGTATTAAATAGATCCTCATGGCTTCGACATCTGGTGGTGAACTTGACAACTGAGGAATCAGACAACTTTGAAAGCTGTTTAAGATCTGTATGGAAGAGACAAGCAATGAGAAATGCAAACGTATCGGATCCTTAGCTAATGAATCTCTACATTCATAAGTTTGGTCAGTAATGTACTGGGCCACTCATGAACCAGCCCTAGTCCAAGCTTTCAGAAACAATCAGGGATAGGAAACACTAACCATTCCTATGCCTAGAGAGCTTTTGTTCTGGGGAAGTGAATCCTTAGAAAGGATTTATACATATGAGAAAGCAAAACTGGTAGCCAAGCCCCCAAATGAGTACTTTTATAAAATTAAAAGTATATTTGTATCAAGCTTGTATCTCCTTTCTTCCCTTCCTCTTAAAAGTTGAATTCGTTGATAGGACAAAGGGTAAACCAATGCACCAGTGACACTCACCAGCCACTATGTTGGAAATTAACTTTAACACTTTGCAGGGAGGAGGGGAGTCGGAAGAGGGGGAGGATGTGGGCAGAATGGGTGAAAATGAGGGAGGGGATTTAACACTGTTCAAAAAGCAATGTGCTTTACCTATGTAACTATAACTCTCTGTACATCACCTGAACAATAAAAAAAAATTGGGGGGGGGGCCCGGTCATGGGGCCTGAACTCTGGGCCTGGGCACTGTCCCTCAGCTCTTCAGCTCAAGGCTAGCGCTCTATCACTTGAGCCACAGTGCCACTTCCTGCTTTTTTCTTTTTGCTTATCTGGTGCTGAGGAATTGAACCCAGGGCCTCATGCATGCAAGGCAAGTGCTCTACCAGTGAACCACCTTCCCAGCCCTAACAATAAAAATTTTAAAAAGTAAAGTTGAATTCTTGCTGGCTCATGCCTGTAATCCTAGCTACTCAGGAGGCTGAAATCTAAGGATCAATGTTCAAAGCCAGCCCGGGCAGAAAAGGCTCCGTAAGACTCTTATCTCCAATTAACCACTCAAAAAAGAAAGAAAAAGGAAAAGGAAAAGATCAGAAGTGGAGCTGTGGCTCAGAGCGGTAGAGCACTAGCTTTGAAAAAAAAACTCAGGGACAGTGCCCAGGCCCTGAGTTCAAGCCCCACAATTGACCAAAAAAAAAAAAATTGAACTCTTCATATAAAAATGCATTTTCAAGAATTAACTTTATAAAAGCAAGCAACCTACCTGTTCTAGAATCATGGCATGCTGAGAGTTCATTAACTTCTCAAATAACACTCTAGTTGAGTTCAGGTCAATCCCAGGGATTTTCGGACTTGTTTTAAAATGTTCATCAATTCTAAACAAATAAGATGTACATAATGCATACATATGCATGCAATAAAAGAGAGGCAAACATGCTGATAAAGGCTATAAAGAGATAAACGAAATAGTTTATCCATTCTGATCAGATTTGAATTTGATCAGGTAGAATAAGATCAACACTTTGGATAGTACTCTAATGAACACTTTTTTCTGCCACTGTGATGCACTGAGCTACACAGAGACCCAGCTGGGTACAAAAAAAAAATCCTCTATTCAAATATCCATCCATCAACAAACGGAAAGTACAATCTCCTATTTAAAGCCTTCCTTAACAAGAATTAAAAATGAAAATTAGATTTATAGCAAATGTAAAATTAATGTCTCTCTTATTTAATACAAGAGATTCTAATTACATTCACCCAAGGACCAACATTACTGCAAACACTTGTTATTAAGTCAGATTGATAACTTTAAATGGGCTTAGCACTTAAGAGGCTTTGAGAATGTCTCTTAAATTCATATATATACATATATATGTTATTACATGTACGTTATATTACATATAATTTATATATAACATATATATAATGTCTCTTAAACTCATATATATATATAGATAGATAGATAGATAGATATAGATATCTTGGTAAAACTGTTTTTCCTTTTTTTTGGGGGGGGGAGTATAGGGATTGAACTCAGGGCTCTGTGTTTGCTAGGCAAGCACCTTACCATTTGACCCATACCACTAGTCCCGTTTTGCCTTGGTTATTTTTGAGGTAGTTCTCACATCATTCCCAAACCAGCCTGAGCTGTGACCCTCCTACCTGTCTTTCACTGTGTGGCTGAGGTACACACTCAGTTATTGGTTGATTTCCTGGGTTGGCCCTTCCAATCTTTACATCTCAAATACCTAAAAATAACAAGCTTGAACCTCCATGCCTAGCATGGTTTTCATTTTGATTGGTTTGCTATCATGCATCTTCTATGTAATGAATGAACAGGCTTCCTGAAATGATACAAATTGTAGAACAACAACAACAACAAACAGCTGGGTGCCACTGGCTCATGTTCATCCTAGCTACTCAGGAAGTGGTGATCAAGGGTATCACAGTTTTGAGGCCAGCCAGGCAAAAAGTTCACAAGACCCCCATCCCAACCAATAGCTGAGCACAATGGCACCAGCTACATCAGGAACATAAATAGGAAGATCATGATGCAAGTTAGCTTTGGCAAAAAGCAAGACTATCTCAAAACCAACCAGAGCAAGTCGGGAACTGGTGGCTCAGACCTATAATCCTTGTCACTCAGGAAGCTGAAATCTGAGGATCATGGTTCAAAGCCAGCCCATGCAGTAATGAGACTCTTCGCTCCACTAAACTACTAAATAGCCAAAACCAGCGCTATGGTTCAAGTAGTAGAGCGCTAACTTTGAGCAAAGGAGCTAGAGACAGCACTCAGGCCCTCAGTTCAAGCATCAGGACTGGCAAAAACATTAAATAACACATAACCAGAGTAAAAAGGGCTAGGGGCATGGTTCAAATGGTAGAGCACCTTCTCAGCAAGTAAAAATCCCTGAGTTCACAACTGTATGGAATGCATGGCACTAAAATGATTAGCTCAAGTCTGGCCAAGAGCCACTTTCAACCTTCAAAAAGCTATCAGAACGATAGAAGCTTGGCACTGTTGAGGTTAGGAACAGACAATTCTTTATTGAGCAGATGGGACTGTAGTGTGTTTAACAGCACCTCTGGCCTCAACCCACTGGATTCAAGAATGTACCATCTCCATTGCAATGAACTAAAACATCAGCCGCAGTTGCTTAATACCCCCTGGGGAGCAAAGTCTCCTGAGGGAGTACTGCTGCTCTGGAAGAACGACATCCACAGAAGCCAGAATATCTTTCCCAGGAGGAAAAGTAAACCACGTGAATACATCTCTGAACAGAATATAAACTGAGTGATCACTACTCTAATGATGCAAGCAAATGACTATACTCTCTTAACTGAAGAGTTAATGAAGAAACCACTTGAAAACCAGTTAGCAATACATAATGGGAGGAGGGGATTGGAATTTTAGGTTTCAATTTGACTGGATTAAGTATACACTTCTCCTTCTCTTCTCTCCTGGCCCCTCTCTTCCTCTTGGATCTGGAACATCCTTCTTTTACCTTTGGACCTCAGAACTCCAGGCTCTCTGGCTTTTAGGCTTTAGGATTTGAATCAAACCCTTTACTTCATTCCTAGCTTCTCAAGTTTTTATATACCAGCAGTTCCCTTGGCTCCAGACTGAGCCAAACTTCCAGCTGTCTAATTCACTAGCTTCCAAAAGGTGTATCTGGGAGTGCCCAGTCTCCACAATCATGCGATGCAATTCCCACAGTAAATCCCTCTCACCCATCCATTCATTCATCCATCCATCCATCCATCCATCCATTTTATTCCTATGAAGAACTTTGACTGACACAGGAGCTGAGAGACACGAGGAAGACAGAAGATTCACACAAGAACTAAAGTCTAATACAAGGAAGACAGAAGATTCACACAAGTCCTAAAGTCTAATTCATTGCTAAGTTTTTGATCTTGAATGATTCCCTAAATGCCAACATGTTGAAGGCTTGATTCCCAATACATAGCACCACATGGAGATAGTAAAACCTTTTTTGGGAGGGCTAGAGAGGGGACATGGAAGGAATTTAAAGAAACTGAGTAATGTGACCTTGAAAGGGATATTGGGATCCCAGCCCCTTTCTATTTCTCTCTTTTGCTTCCTGGCCACCATGAGATGAACAACCTCCACCACACTCTCCCGAAAGGATATACCTCCTCCCAAAAGACCTGAAAGCAATATACCCTACCTGACAAAATAAACCTGTCTTCTTTTTTAAGTTGACTATCTTGGGTATTACCCTAACAGAAAGCTAACTAACACATTTGTCTTGAAATCTCATTAGTCTGATCATTGGAAGAAAAAGACTAAGAGATGATCAGGACTTGGGGATCACCAAAGATCTGAACCCTTGGCAAGACCCTTTTGCTGTACCAGATTCCTGAGGGAGGTATCTGCAGAAGAGATAAAGCCAAACACACACACACACACACACACACACACACACACACACACACACACATTCTATTTGCTGTCTGGGAGTTCAGCTTCAAATATAATTTTTAGGTGAGCTGGCTGGGACCCAAATCCAAGAAGCTTCCTTGAAGCATCTCCCTGAGCTCATTCATCTGGAGAAATATGAAAATGCCCATATGTAAACAAATTAATCAAGAAAATTGTTTTTTTTGGAGGGGGGTCCGGTCGTGGGGCCTGAACTCTGAGCCTGGGTGCTGTCCCTCAGCTCTTCAGCTCAAGGCTAGCGCTCTACCACTTGAGCCACTTCCGGCTTTTTTCTTTTTGCTTATGTGGTGCTGAGGAATCGACCCAAGGCCTCAGGCATGCAAGGCAAGCGCTCTACCACTGAACCACCTTCCCAGCCCCTCAAGAAAATTCTTGAAGAACAAATAATGCACATCAAACATTGTACATGGAAAGAACATTTGAGAATATTCTAAAATTCTAACTCCGCATTATATCAGTTCTTCCTGAGTTACACTGTCCTTACTCTGGATTATATCAATTCCTCCTGAAATATACTGTCCTAACTCTGGATGACACCAGTTCTTCCTGAGACACACCCTCTGTCTTTCGGAATCTTCTCAGCCAACCAGCCTTGAATCAGTGCTGCTCTGCCAGCTGTCCTCTCATTCATTATTAGTTGACATTTTAATTCTTGCATACATTCATTGGATTGTGGCCAGCCACCATCAAAAATGAGCAGAAGTCTTTCACAGCTTTCAGTGGGTAAGCATTTGTATCACGTTTGTTTTTAAAGACTCTTAACTCACTTACTTTTTTTCAAGAAAACTTCCATTCCAACAGGCTGCAGAAGATAATATCTGGACAACACCACTACTCAAAAGAAGAAGAAAAAAGGAAAAAAGGAAAGAAGGAAAGGGAGACAGAAAGAGAAGAAGAGGGAGGAAATGAGAGAGAGAGAAAGAAAATCTTTAATAATTACAAAAGTAGGGTATGACTATCTTAACTAATCATTTTGAGTGAGAAAGTGCTACAAGCAATTCAGATTAGGTAGGATAACAATGGTCTTAGATTCAGGATGCTTTGGAAAATGAATGTGAAAAAAATTCGCTGGGGTTTCATAAAATAAGACTGAGCCTTTTTAGCAGAAAGGCCAACTCAGGTATTACTTACTTGGGACTTTTAAGACCTTACACTAAATCAGACATGTTGACAGGCATGACAAGTGGGCATTAATCCATTGTTATTGAGAGAGGAGTTGCTAATTGGATCAAACCCTGAAAACTGTGCAAACACTGATTTCATAAACATACAATTCCATTTATCTTTCCATCCTCAACATGGAAGCAGGGACCATCACTAGACTAAAAAGTTCCAATATACTCTGCAAAAGCTAAAATGAAGGTGAGAAGCCACATACTTGATTGTATTTGCATTGTTGTGTTCTGAGAGTTTTTGTCTCCAAACTGCTATGGTTTCATCATTTATTAAACTGGTATAATGTGCTTGGCTCATGGTTCTGAAGTCAACAGCAGGAGAAGAACTCTGGAGAATTAAATATGACAGAAAAAAATAAGTTAGCAGCACGGATCCTTCTCCTCTCCCTCCTCCCCACCCATATACTCTCTACCCACCGCGTTGTACTCATGAACCAGCCCCTGGGGTGCCCTGTCCAGATCCTTCACTCTCAGAATGAGGTACCACACCCTCAGCTACTGACAGCTCACCTGGAGAGGTCTCCAAGCCTGGTCCTTGAGCTACTGCTTCACCCTACTATATTCAATAGTGGTTACACAAAAGCCTAGTTCCTTTTGCCTCAACTCAGAGCTAGCTGGAAGGCCCTTCCAACTTCAGTGCCTCCTCCTTCTATGGGACAAGCTGAGGTCTCCATTGTAAGCCCAGCCCCGATCCCTTCACCAAAGGGGATGTTGTTTTAGACAGCACACATCTCAACACTTGGAGCCTCAAAGTCTGTTTCTTAGAAAAACTGACCCACTGTGACTTTCCCAGATTTTTTCCCCTTTTCTTTGAATCACAAGCAAGGTTTTTGGACTATCAGTGATGTGCCATAACTGTTCGCTAAAATCCAATAAAATGTATTGTTTTAAAAATCTGTTCAGTAATAATCTATATTGCAATAGTTTGTGAAAATGTAATGCCTCGTCATTTCTTGCTCTAAGTATATGCCCATGAACAGATGAGAAAAGTGGTCCTGGGACATCAATAATGGCCTGGAAAGGTCTGAAAGCTGCCCAGGGCAAAGTACAACTTTATTTAGTGAGAGAAACAATATATGTAAGGACTTTCACTTCCCACAAAACTGCTTATATCCAAGTTATATTCTCCAAACTCTGTTCATGATCTGGATCTAAGAAAATGATGCTTGTCACTAAGATGAAGGGAAAAGTAATACTAAAACACTCAAGCATTTTTCCCCATTTGTACTTATATAAACTATAACTTTAAAAGTAAATTCCCCTGCTACTTCCCCATGGTTGTGAATGAAGATACCCTTCAGTGAGAAAGGAAAGGGCATGTAATGTGCAGACACCTGACGAAATCTTTGATCCTTGACAACCATTCTATTAAAGTGGCCACAGATATATAACCAAAGAATACAAATCATCATAGGACACACTGTACTTGTCGATTGCGTTTCTTTGCAACTTATGTAAATTTTAGTTGTTTCCTCTATTCAAAGTAGTAACTGCACATCAACAATAACTGAAGATTACAAAAAGTACATAGACTTAGAACAAGTTTCTCACTTCATTGTATATCCCATAATCCACAGATGCCTTCAAGAACCAAGAAAAAGTACCACTGTTCTAAGCCTTCCCCTCCTTCAATGCTGAGGATCCAACTCCTATCTGCTAGCTATACTCTCTACAACCAAGCTGTACTCCAGCCCTCAATGTCTCCCTGTTATAAACAGGACAAAAAGAAAGACTTGCTCCAGGTCTCTTGGTTCTGACTGGACTGTTAAAAATCTCAGTGACGAATACAGACCAAGTGATTCAAATTCTCTAGAAGAGCACTGTCAAAACTCTCAGATAATTCCAATGGACAAAGAAATCACTGCTCAATTAAGAATAATTTAAAAGGCTGGGTACTGGCGACTCATGCCTGAGATCCTTGCTACTCAGGAGGATAATAAAACTGGAAAATCATGGTTGGAAGCCAGCCTGGAAAGAAAAATCCAGAGACTCCATCTCCAATTTAACCAACAAAAATCCAGGCTGAAAAAAAATCCAGGCTGGAGTTGTGGCTGCAGTGATAGAGTGTCAGCCATGAGTTAGTAAGCCAAGTAACATCAAGAATTGAGTTCAAGCTCCAGTACTGGGGAAGGGATCAAAAAAGACAATTATGGAGGCCAGCAGGCTTCGAGGCAGGGACGGACACACACAGATATCTGCACTCAACTCCAACCCTATTCCTTCTTCAATCATGTCCAGAGAACAAGATGAAAGAAAAGGTATGGTCTTGTTTTAGACTCACTAACTGCCAAAACCTACAACCAAATACAGCAAAGGAGTGAAATAACTGTAGCTGAATGCCAGCAAGTGTCGTTAATTTAAAAACTTAAGTGTGAAATGCTATAAAATTTGAAACTTTTAAGTGTGAACATGATATCACAGTAGAAATTTCACACACGAAACCTTGTTTCATGTGCAACATTAGGTAATACGTTGTATAAAATTGCCCTCAGAGCCAGGTGTGGTGGTCCATGCTGATGATCCTACCGCCTGGAACTGAGGTAGGAGGATCATGAGTTTGATGCAAGCCTGGGCTTGATAGCAAGACCCTTTCCCTGGCACCTCCAAAAAAAATTACCTCCAGGGCTATCTATAGATGTATGTGAAACAATAAAATATAAATGAACTTAGCTTCAGTCCATCTCCAAGATATCTTTTTTTTTTTTTTT